AAAAAAAAAAAAAAAAAAAAAAAAAGTAAAATCTTTCGGGGCGCCTGGGTGGCTCGGTTGGTTCAGCATCCGACTCCTGATTTCAGCTCAGGTCGTGATCCCAGGGTCATGGGACGGAGCCCTGTGTCGGGCTCCACGCTAAACACGGAGCCTGCTTAAGATTCTCTCTCTCGGGGCGCCTGGGTGGCTCAGTCAGCTGAGCGTCTGACTTCGGCTCAGGTCATGATCTCACCGTTCGTGGGTTTGAGCCCCGCGTCGGGCTCTGTGCTGACAGCTCAGAGCCTGGAGCCTGTTTCAGATTCTGTGTCTCCCTCTCTCTCTGACCCTTCCCAGCTCACACTGCTTCTCTCTCTCTCTATTTCTCCCCTGCTTACATTCTCTTTTTCTCTCTAAATAAAAAATTACACTTTAAAAATAAATAAAATGAGGGTGCCTGGGCAGCTGAGTCTTAAGCAACTGACTTCAGCTCAGGTCACAATCTTACAGTTTGTGGGTTCGAGCCCTACATCAAGCTCTGTATTGACAGCTCAGAGCCTGGAGCCTGCTTCGGATTCTGTGTCTCCCTCTCTCTCTGCCCCGCCCCTGCTCATTCTCTCTCTCTCAAAAATAAACAAACATCAAAAAAATTTTTTAAGAGACAAATAAAATAAAATAAAAATATAATCTTTAGGGCACCTGTTAATGATGAGCACTGGGTATTATACGTGAGTGATGACCCATTAAATTCTACTCCTAAAACCAAAATTACGCTATATGTTAACTAAATAGAATTTAAATGACAATTTGGAGGAAACAAAATGTTCTTAATAAAAAAATGAAATCTTAAAAAAAGAATGCCTTTTTAAAAAATATACATAGCCATTCTTGGGGCGCCTGGGTGGCTCAGTCAGTTAAACGTCCGACTTCGGCTCAGGTCATGATCTCACAGTTCGTGGGTTTGAGCCCCGCATCGGGCTCTGTGCTGACAGCTCAGAGCCTGGAGCCTGTTTTGGATTCTGTGTCTCCCTCTCTCTTTGTCCCTCCCCTGCTCACGCTCTGTCTCTGTCTCAAAAATAAACTATAAAATTTTTTTTTAAATAAATAAAATATACATAGCCATTCTTCACTTTTTTTTTTAAAGTTTATTTATTTTGAGAGAGCACGTGTACACAAGCGCAGTAGAGAAAAGCGGGGAGAGAACCCCAAGGTCCTGCACTGCCCACACAGAGCCCCAGGCAGGGCTTGATCTCCCAAGAACATGACCTGAGCCAAAAATCAAGAGTTGGACACTTAACAGACTGAGCTCCCCAGGCGCCCTAACGCCTCTGTCTCTTGAAGCCTCAGTTTCCCCATCTGTGCAATAAGGGCACTGATCAGACGGGGTCCACAGGCTCTGAGGGCTGTGAGGGAGCCCCACCCCAGGTCTCTCGCCCCCTCCCACCTCCACCCTGCCCCGCCCCGGCCTGTCCCCGGCCAGCTCACCAAGGTCCAGCAGCGCGCTGTCGGATGGAAAGGTGGACCCGAATTCCTCCTGCAAGTGGTAGGCCCGGTGCAGCAGGGACTCCAGCTTCTCTGCGAAGTCCCTTCGCTGTGACTCTGGCTGCAATGAGAAGGATGGCTCCACACTCCCTGGCCCAATGGCCCCTTCCCTCACCGACGCTGGGGGGCGGGGGGCCTGGCAGCGAGAGCGCATTTCCAGACCCGAGCTGCCCGATACAGGGGCCGGCGGCCACACGGAGTGACTGAGGCTGGAAAGGTGGCCTGTCCCAACGGAGACGTGCCGTTAAGTATGAACACATGCGGGGTTCCCAGTACTTCGCGCCGAAGACCCACACGTGTCCCCACTACGTTCCACGGCGATCCGCGTTGGAAACGCGGTACTGTGGACGCGCTAGAGTACAGGAAATGGATCGCTAACATGATTCTTGCCAGTCTCCTTCCGCTGTGAAACGGGGGCTCTGGGAAATTTTAAATGAGCTAAACGGCTCTGCACGGAACAAGGCCGCTCTGGACCCCGGCGGACCTGGGCCACGTCCTCGGCACCACAAGTTCCGAGTGGCGTGACCCCGAGTGAACGACTTCCTCATTCTAAGCCTCTGTTTCCGTATCTGTCAACTGAGATGAGAGTCCCTACTTCCTAGGATTTTAGGGAAAACATGAAGGAAAGAGGGTATGCAAAGCCCCTCACACACAACTGGCCTGTGGCGATGACCGGCTAGCGCTGGCTCTCATACCAATTGATGTGCTACGATACATAACGTGTATACAACATGGAAGTTATAATATACTATGCGTAATATGAGGCATATCATATATATGTAATAATAACAGTACGGGCACTCTGATAAGTGGACAGTCATGATCCCAGGAAGAGCTGGGCTCCAATTCCACTGTTATACTAACCACGTGTGCTTGGGAAGGCATTGAGCCTAAGAGGCAGCAGCCTGTGGCTCAGTGTGGCCTCAGTGAGGCCTCCTCGCTGCCCTTGGCCTCCAGGCTGCTGTGTGGAAAGAAGCACTGCTCCTTTGACCCCAGGAGCTTCTCGGCCAAGGGGCAGAGGCAGGCAGGCACAAGTCTGTTTTCCACCAAGCCTGCCAGATCCTATACCTGCGTGTAACCAGAACCTGGGGAGGAGACCGGGGCCAGCTCAGGCCACAAGCCCCCGGGGACAGAGCCAGAAGAGCTCCGAGGGGGACAGCAGTGACGGAGAAAGCCGCTCGCCCTGGACACGGCCCCTTGCTGCTCAGCCTCACGGCACCCCTGAAGGCAGATCTGCCTCTGACGCCGACCCGCAGAGAAACTCAAGGAGGTTAAGTGGTGCAGCCCGCCCGGCAGAGCCCAGGGAACCTCGGGCCCCCTGTCCACTCGGCCCGATTCACTGACAGGACCAGACCCCGCACGGTGTGGCTGGCAGACAGAGCCTGGTAGCTCTGGCAGAGGCGTGCCGCTTCTCTCTCTGTGACGTGGCCTCCAGGTAGGCAATGTTTCTTTGGCGTCACACGGCAAATGACAAGAGAAGAAGGATATACTGAACTTCATTGAAATTCAGAACTTCTGGGGCGCCTGGGGGGCTCAGTCGGTTAAGTGTCCGACTTTGGCTCAGGTCATGATCTTGCGGTTCGTGGGTTCGAGCCCCACGTCGGGCTCTGTGCTGACAGCTCCTGGAGCCTGCGTCGGATTCTGGGTCCCCCTCTTTCTGCGCCCCTCCCCCATTTACACTCTTTCCGTCTCTAAAAATTAAATAACATTCAAATTTTTTTAAAAAAAATTCAGAACTTTTGTGGTTCAAAGCACGCCCCACCGGATGGGGCGAAGTATCTCCAGATCTGCCTCCGCGAAGAGACTTATATCCAGAATAGAGAGCCCCTACAAGTCAATAATAAAAAGATATAACCATTCATCTATGGGAAGACACTTGGATTGCTTCCCTATCTTGGCTATCATAAATCTGAATGTCCATCCGCAGATGAGCAGATAAAGAAGATGTGGTCTATAAATACAATGGGGTATTATTCAGCCACAAAGAAGAATGGAAACTTGGCATTTGCAACCAGATACAAAGGGATTAGGAGTACGCTTATCGTTGGGGCTCCTGGGGGGCTCAGTCGGTTGAGCGGCCGACTTTAGCTCAGGTCATGATCTCGCGATTCGTGGGTTCGAGCCCCGCATCGGGCTCTGTGCTGACAGCTCACAGCCTGGAGACTGCTTTGGATTCTGTGCTTCCCTCTCTCTCTGTCCTTCCCCTGCTCGCTCTCCGTCTCTCTCTCAAAATAAACATTGAAAAAATTAAAAAAAAAAAAAGTACACTGATCGTGATGAGCATTGAGTAATATATAAAATTCCTGAATTGGAAAAAAAAAAAAAAAAGATGGATGGCCTAATTAAAATAAAGCCAAAGATCTGAAGAGACGATTCTCCAAAGACCCTACAAGTGGCCAATAAGCTCTACATGGTTAGCTCAGGGAAATCCAAGTCAAGGGGCACTTGGGTGGCTTAGTCGGTTAAGCGTCCGACTTTCGCTTAGGTCATGATCTCGCGGTTCGTGGGTTCGAGCCCCGCGTCGGGCTCTGTGCTGACTGCCAGCTCAGAGCCCGGAGCCTGTTTCAGTCTGTGACTCCCTCTCTCTCTGGCCCTCCCCTGCTCACGCTGTCTCTCTCCCTCTCTCTCTTTCTCTCTCAGAAATAAATAAAACATTAAAAAAATTTTAAAAAAATTGAGCTTCACTGAAATATTAGTGTAGCCATTTAATTTTTGTTCAATTTTATGCTGTTAAGTGGCTTCATTTTGATGAAAATGATGCTGAATTTCTGGAGGGAAGGATGTAAGATTTCTGTCTTATTTTCTTGAATCCCAACATCCTTCCACATAGTTAGGCAGGCACTATGGCCCCTAAATCTATCGTAGATGATTGGCAGCTGGGAAAGTCTCCTCTGTTAAGACTCCTCCCTAGAGGGCTTTCTGGGG